TTGTCAAAGAACTTAAGATATTCATTGCTATCGGGATGTTAAGAGCATTCCATGGAATATAACAAAAAGTGTATCCCGAGCCGGTTTCTCAAACTTACCTACCCCACCTTTAACGTCCCATGGAAATTTACCGGAAATGTTCTGCGCCTTTGCAACCCTAGTCACCATTAGTGTGAACGGCTTGTAGTTTTCGGGTAATCCCCGCATAACCATCGCCATCATTAGTCCCTCACTCGGTGCTTCTCCCGCGCTCCTGAGTGCCGTAATGATCTGCTCAGCTCGGATAATGTATTCTGTAACCGTCTCATTATCAGCTTTCTTCAGCACAGTCATGGTTATGTACAAGGTGACAATCCGGGGCCTGCCTTTTCCAATGTAGTGCTCCCGTAATACTCTGAGACTTTCTCGGCCCTTGTCCTTCGTGTCTCTGAATATCAGTCCTAAACTGGTATTGTCGAGTAGCGGCGCTAACTCACAATAGGCATCACCATTGAGCTTGTCGTCTTGAGCCCTCAGTGCCGCGGTCAGCTCTCCAGTGGGTGCTCGAAGGATGGTCTCCTTCAATCCCACTCCGTGCATGCAACACAGCATCCTCTCTTCCCAGAGCTCATACTCTTCTGCTTTCCCGTCGAACACTTGCTCACTTGCTCTTCCTTGTGGTTCTATTCGCCATGGCTTTTGCGTTTGTAGCTTCAGTAGCTTAGCTTACATCCTTGTTAGCGTAGCTTTAGCTTACCTCGGTTCTCCCGATGCTAAACTAGCTCAACACGTGGCTAACTAGCTACTCCTATGCTAACCGTGCTAACAGGCAATCTTCTCGCCTCGTTATCGCACGCGAGCTTCGAACTGTAGAATAATTAATCGTATCTGGGCCCATAACCTTTTCGCAGATTTAGACTTATACCTTTTGTCTCTCTGCAGCAGAAAGGTGACTATTCTCACAGTTCAAGTTTAGCCATTCATCTCGGCGTTATTTATTAGATGCACACAGGTCAAGAGACTTGAGGACTGAACAAGAAGGACTCCAACTGTCACGCCCCTGTCACTGTCACAATCACGTGCTACAGCGCTACCCAATGAACACAGTAGTAGTCACAGCTACAGTGGGGCAAACAAGTATTTAGTCAGCCACCAATTGTGCAAGTTCAACCCACTTAAAAAATGAGAGAGGCCTGTAATTTTCATCCTAGGTATACCTCAACTATGAGAGACAGAATGAGAAAAAATAATCCAGAAAATCTCATTGTCTGATTTTTAAAGAATTTATTTGCAAATTATGGTGGAAAATAAGTATTTGGTCAATAACAAAAGTTAATCTCAATACTTTGTTATATACCCTTTGTTGGCAATGACAGAGGTCAAACGTTTTTTGTAAGTCTTCACAAGGTTTTCTCACACTGTTGCTGGTATTTTGACCCATTCCTCCATGCAGATCTCCTCTAGAGCAGTGATGTTTTGGGGCTGTCGCTGGGCAACACGGACTTTCAACTCCCTCCAAAGATTTTCTATGGGGTTGAGATCTGGAGACTGGCTTGGCCACTCCAGGACCTTGAAATGCTTCTTACGAAGCCACTCCTTCGTTGCCCGGGCGGTGTGTTTGGGATGTTTCAATGCCCTTGCTGATGGAAGGAGGTTGTTACTCAAAATCTCACGCCCCATTCATTCTTTCCTTTACACGGATCAGTCGTCCTGGTCCCTTTGCAGAAAAACAGTCCCAAAGCATGATGTTTCCACCCCCATGTTTCACAGTAGGTATGGTGTTCTTTGGATGCAACTCAGCATTCTTTCTCCTCCAAACACGTCTAGTTGAGTTTTTACCAAAAAGTTCTATTTTGGTTTCATCTGACCATATGACATTCTCCCAATCCTCTTCTGGATCATCTAAATGCTCTCTAGCAAACTTCAGACGGGCCTGGACATGTACTGGCTTAAGCAGAGGGACACGTCTGGCACTGCAGGATTTGAGTCCCTGGCGGCGTAGTGTGTTACTGATGGTAGCCTTTGTTACTTTGGTCCCAGCTCTCTGCAGGTCATTGACTCGGTCCCCCCGTGTGGTTCTGGGATTTTTGCTCACCGTTCTTGTGATCATTTTGACCCCATGGGGTGAGATCTTGCGTGGAGCCCTATATCGAGGGAGATTATCAGTGGTCTTGTATGTCTTCCATTTTCTAATAATTGCTCCCACAGTTGATTTCTTCACACCAAGCTGCTTACCTATTGCAGATTCAGTCTTCCCAGCCTGGTGCAGGTCTACAATTTTGTTTCTGGTGTCCTTTGACAGCTCTTTGGTCTTGGCCATAGTGGACTTTGGAGTGTGACTGTTTGAGGTTGTGGACAGGTGTCTTTCATACTGATAACGAGTTCAAACAGGTGCCATTAATACAGTTAACGAGTGGAGGACAGAGGAGGCTCTTAAAGAAGAAGTTACAGGTCTGTGAGAGCCAGAAATCTTGTTTGTTTGTAGGTGACCAAATGCTTATTTTACTGAGGAATTTACCAATTAATTCATTAAAAATCCTACAATGTGATTTCCTGGATTCTTTCCCCCCATTCTGTCTCTCATAGTTGAAGTGTACCTAGGATGAAAATTACAGGCCTCTCATCTTTTTAAGTGGGAGAACTTTCACAATTGGTGGCTGACTAAATACTTTTTTGCCCCTATACAAACAATATGGTACACAGTATTACATGGAGTCATACAATATACAATATACATGTCTCTGTATGTATGTTATACCTCAACAAATAGCCTATTTCTCTTTGAAATGTGATGGAGTAAAAGGATAGTAACTGTGATTATTCATGTTAAGTACCCCACAAGTAACTAAAACGTATAGTACTTGAAGGTGTAAAATGTTTCCATAAATACCAATATCACACACTACAACACAGACTCCCCTTGTTGTAAAATACCAACCATGTGCATGTGTGTATATATATATATATATATATATATGCCGCTAAACTGTGTAATATATACCTCGCTGCTAAATCCTCCGAACTGTTACAGGATGTGTATTTTGTAAAATGTATAACTTTTTTTATTATAATTTAAAAAAAAAAAATCTTTAATACTTTTTTGATGCATACTTTAAGTAACATTAGGCTGTCTTTGGCTCTTTTCTGCTGTAACAATGTAAATGTATTCTGATTCTGATTCTAATTCATATGTTTTTGTCACAGTTTGTTTCCCTATATTGCGACACTTATTTTGTTTAAGATTATTTCTCCTTTTTTTACAGACATCCCCAACCATAGTGGAATGCTGTTGTAAAGGATTGCATTGATCCGTGCATCAATACCTTCACCCAGCTTTGAGGCATCCAATGAGTGAAATAATCTTGTGGCTAGGAAAAATATGAAAAAATAAATCTCACAAAGAGTGACTTTCTTGTGTAATCATTATAATATCAAAGACAAGCGCTTTTAGTAACAATGTATAAAATCATTCAGCAGCAGAGGTTGGGGTGGAAACAGCATTTCTAACTAAGATGATTGCAATATTAAAGTTAAACATCAAGATGAACATACTATTATTAATTTAAAAAGTACATGGGAAACTTAAATATCCTGCAATATACCATTAGCAGAATAGGAACAAATGTGCCAACTGCCAAAACATTTCTAACATAACCAACTCAAACTACTGGAAAGAATACACATGGAAGATTTTCGTCTGTTACTTCAAGACACCCCAAATTCAAAGTCAGTATAAACAAAATCTCATTTAAAAATGCTGCAGAGAATGCGGGGCGCGGAGGGCCAACCATGGTCATATATTTTGGTCTTGTAATGTTTTGTGTGGCAAAGTTAATATTTTGTTTCTTAAAAGATTAAATCTTTAAAAACATGCTGTTTGCCATTTTTAAAGTTTGATGGAAGAAATTAAAATATAGGTCACTGACGTGGAGCTTTAGGCCTGCAATGCTTTAAAATGTTTTAGTTGTTTCAGTTTTGAAGAGTGAATATGGATGTTAAGTTCACAAATTAGTATGAATAATCTTAAACAAGAACAGGATCTTGAGCCATGATGCCTGTTTTTAAAGTACAGAAACATTCAGAATGCATGACGATTCCTTCAAAGGTTTTGTAATAGACCCCTAGTACTCTTAATTTATAAAGTAATAATAATAAATGTGAATGATTGAGCTCATTAGTGTCCTGACTGGCCCTCCTAATTTGGTCTAAAAAAAGTCAATGATGATCATTATGAACGGGTGTCCAGCCCGTATCAATAACATACCAAACTACAGGCTAATGTGAGATTCAGAAATTACTTTTAAAAATCATGTTTTCATGTTATAGTAGGCCTACCTTAGCTTACATGAACCTGTTTGAAACCTTAATGACCCCATGATGTGATTATGTATATCTTAAAACAACTATATTTAGATGTTCATAAATATCTACATTTATGTATTAATACATGTGTAGCAGTTAGACAAACATAATTAATAGATGATCTCATTATTACCTATTTTATATGTACTAAAAAATAAAAATAAAGTTTACTAAGCCCCCTTTTTGTTTTAATTTATTAATTAGACAAAATGATTTGTGCTTACAGTCATATACTGTTGTGTCCCAAATGGATAGACTAGGTTATTAATTAATTTGCCTAATAGTTGCTTAAAATGCTGCAATAACATTTGCAATTCGTTTTTCGGAGGCGTGTGGCGCAGTAGCTAGAGCCCATGGATGTATAATAAGAACTAGAGCTAGAGCTAGAGCCTTGGTCTGGGGATCAGGGGGTCACAGGTTCAAACCTATGGTTCAAACCCCACTGCAGTCAGCATGTCGTTGTATCCCTGGGCAAGACACTTCACCCCAAATTGCTCCTGTGGGGATTGCCCACAGTATTGTGTATGTAAGTCGCTGTGGATAAAAGCGTCTAACAAGTAACATGTAATGTTTTGTCATCTGCCATGTACGGTTACGGTATCAATGTCTCTCAGCCACCGTAGTGTCGTGTCAGGTGGGCGTGTCGTGTACTTGCTGCGCCGGTGCGTTTACAAGCCACGGCCAGCCGGAATTCCAACAGTAGAAGAAGAAGTACATTTTCCCCCGTGTTGTTAAAATGCTAGCTGCATGTTGTTGACGAGCATGAGACTAGCAATACCATGATTTAGTTTGTAAAGAAACACTTTAACTTATATCGCGTTTCATATATGAAGGAGTCGTTATACGCTGTCCAGTAAGTTGGCTAATATCTCTGAACAGCTAGCTAGAAAAGCCTTTTGTCAACATTAGTTCCTATGCTAACGCTAGCTGTTGAGGTTCATATGCGAGTGTGTCACTGAGTGTGTCTGCTGTTGTCAGACTGGAGGATGAAGGTAAAGATCCGACAGTGGAACGGTGTGGCCTCTTGGTTGTGGGTGGCTAATGATGAAAACTGCGGGATCTGCCGGATGCCCTTCAATGGCTGCTGCCCAGACTGTGAGTAACCGACTAACTGCGATGCTAACTGATGGGAAGTACTCCGATTATTTATTAACAAAAAAGTAACAATACTACAGTGTAAAAATACTAGTACAGTTCCTGCATTTCAGAAAATATCTGAAATGTTTGCTTAAAATTACTTTAACATTGAGTCAATCAAAATAGTAGGCGATTATTTTTCTGTGGATTTTTTACTGCTAATTCTACTAATAGCTTCAGCTCTAGTAATAATAAAGTACTGTGCAACTCCTGCAGTTAGCTTTTCCTTGATATGTCCTTGGATTTAAAGTCTTTCACACACAGTGACGTCACGAGCTACCCACAATGCAACACGCGCCATATATATATATATATATATATATAAATATATAAATACGCCATTTTCATGGAGGTGCAAATATCCTGGAAGTGCAAATATAAACAGCTAGCTAACTAGCCAGGCAGAGCGCACTAGTTTTTTTTTCTGAATTAACGACCGAAGAAATCGCTGCATGTCTTCGGATTACATCTCTGGACTTGAGGGGTGTGCTCTAGGTCGTTACCAGCGTAAACTAGAGCTGTGTGGGTTGTCGGATTGCCCTTACAGACTGCGTCGATTTTGGCTGCATCTACGTCTAATGTCTGGAAACACCAGGTGAATACCCCACTTGTCACAATAATATTATCATGCCATTGCATATATGTGGTATTTTAGAGTTGACTAGATATTGATTAAGGCAATAGACTATGATACTCAGTACAGGAAGCTTAGCAACACCTAGACGGTGTAGGCTAAACCCTTGGCCTGCTTGCACCTCGCGTAAAACGGCGGATACCGGAATTACGGTGTCGCCCTCGGCCCAATACCCGTATGTGTGTGTGAAAGAATAGGTCTATTCTGTATTTTAAATACAAAATAAATCCTTGTCTTCGTATATTTACAGTCGGCTCGAAAAGCACTGCAGAATATAAATGAGATTATCAATTAAATTCCTACTTCTTAATATGGTTATCAAACTGGTATGTCCATTAAATTGTAAAGGCTAGCACTTCCTCACATTGTACATGATAGGCTATAGGGCCTGAACCTGACTGACATTTTTATTCCACTGTTAAATAACCTGTTCAATACAAACATGCCACTTGTAAAAATGCAATACAATTTCTGTGAACTGATATTTGTTTAGTGAGCATATTAGAGGATGTTCCCTGAAAGATTGTAAAATGTAAATGAAGATGTCAGACTTAGTATATTTGTTAATAATTACATACAATACATGGAATGTGTGTGTGTGTGTGTTCCAAGTGAATCTGCAGCCCCCTGGTGGCCAGTACATCAATTATGTGGCCCCCACCACCATCCAAGTTGCCCATCCCTGCTTTAGGTTATGAGTATGACAGCTAGCACTCTTTTCTCACTGTTGTAAATGAGATGTAATGTAAAACATGTTTTGCAGGTAAAGTGCCTGGGGATGACTGCCCGCTGGTCTGGGGTCAGTGCTCGCACTGTTTCCACATGCACTGCATCTTGAAATGGCTGAACTCGCAGCAGGTCCAGCAGCAGTGCCCCATGTGCCGGCAGGAGTGGAAGTTCAAAGAATGAACCCGAGGTGCCGGAGAGAGGGGAGAGAGGGACTCCCTCACAGAGGAGGACATTTTTATATCAACTGTAAATAACTACGTTTTTGTAGTCCTTCATCTAACGTTATGCAAAGGACACATGGAACCTATTGTGCTCTGTTGACAGATTTAAGTATGTGATTAAATACAAATACAAACCCTACATGACATGCCCTGTACCTGATGCTGTGCATGCTACATGTGAGTGACATGACTTTCATTAGTGTGGTTTATTTACCCAGAAGCGTCTGGCATTGGTTTGGGAACATGCCGTGACTTGCATAAGCGTTTAACCTCCTTGAAAATTATTAGATTTATCTGGATTATAAATAATGCATTAGCCGCTTTCACACCAAGTGCTTTGCCGTACTTAGTGCCCCGGCACTTAGTACGCCAGGGCACTAAGTACCAATCGCATTCACACCGGAGTACTTTTCCCTGAGGGAAGATTACGCAAATGAGCCGCTGACGTCACTTCGTCTTCTTCTGCTTTGGGTTTACTGGCAGGCCGCAAACAACTTCACGGCGTATACTGCCACCCGAAGTCCCCGGCCGGAAGTCCCCCGGAGTTGGGGGACTGGCTTCAGTCGAAGCTGCTGGGACTCCCAGCAGATTCTGGCTGAAGCCTTCCGAGTAAAATCGCCAGAACGCCGACACCTCCTCATCACTCCACCGCTCCCATGTTTTCTTTTGTGTTGCCATAAGTTATTCCCTCTCCGTTGGTGCGCGGGGCTAATGCTAATAATGCTAATGCCAGCAAATACAATGGCGGCTTCAAAAAACGTTTCAGAGTTTTACGGGGCGTGGTTTGCAATTCACCCAGCCAATAGAAATTGGTACTTTTTTGGTACCACCTCTCTAGCAGGCACTAAAAATGGGGGTAAAAGTTCCCGGCACTAAGTACTCTTTTTGGTGTGAACGCGACATAAGGGGTACTAACGGAACTAAAGTGGAAAAGTACTCCGGTGCAGTGTTTCCGCCAGACCAGGGCTGAGAGGGCGTTTTGACTTGAGCCGTCCCTTATAGATACTATCTTTTTACGTTAGTGAGCCGGATCATTTGACTCGGCTCTCTTAAAGCGCCAGCTGTTTCGGCTCCCAAACGGCTCTTCATGTTACCACAGTTTACCACGGAGCCTCAGTTTCGCCGAGTGCTACTGGAGCACGCACGCGCGTGAGCTGCTCTAGCACTGCTCATCGCATCCAAATCGCGCACGTTACATGTTGTCCTGTAGCAGGCACCGCCGATGTCGGGGAAACGATCTTCAATACTCCGAAAAGAATCCCACCAGGCTCCTTTGCCCCTCCAACAGAGGGATGTCCTTTTTCCTTTTCGTCATTTCAAGCGATAAAAACTCGATCTTCTCTCGAATTATTAATATTTTTCAAATGACGGCAAGACGCCCCCCTGGCGGAAACGCTGCTCCGGTGTGAACGCACCTCTAGAGGTTTTTTTAATTTATTTTTTATTTTAAAAGACACCCTCAAAATGATTTTTCTTAAAATGTACTTTTCTTTTTGTAAGAAAAATAAATAACTAAAAGTACTTGGAACTACAACTTATAAATCTATAGTATGTCCAAAATATCATAAAAAAACAACATAGTATTTTATGTTGAAATATATTAAAAACAACATAGTAAAGTATTTCTAAAACATTTTCTGAAAACAAATGAGTATAGTATGTTGAAAATATATTAAAAGAATACATAGTATAGTATTTCAAAATTATATGAAAAAAACAACATTGTAAAGTATTTTTAAAAAATATCAGAAAAACAACTGTAGTATGTCGAAAATTACAGTAAAACCACAACCACCGTATGTCGATGATGTAACAAATAAAAAGATTGTATAGTTCGTCGAAAATGAGAAAAATATACATAGCATACTGTGTCGAAATTATGAGGAACAATAGACAAAGTATAGTATGTCAAGATAATATCAGAATACAAGATATTAAAATATGTCAAAACTATCCCAAAAAACATAGTATTATACATCAAAAATATCTATCTAATCTGATATAACTGTTTTTATTATATTTTTAACAGACAATACCATTTCGATTTTTAGGATATTTTGGACGTACTGTATTTTGGACATTTCTTTTCCCTCATGTTTTCGACACGATGTTGTTGTTTTAAATATTTTCGACAAACACTACTATGTTTTTAATTCTACTGTACTATGTTGTATTTTCCTTAAATGTGGACGTACGTATGTATACTTTCGACATACTATGTTTTTTTTCTTTTCTTTTGGACATTCTATGTGGGTTTTTTTATAATATATTCGATATACTGTACTATCTGTTTTTTATGATATTTTTGACATACAATACTTGTACAGTATGTTGTTTTTTTCGACATCCTAAAACTATGTTGTTTTATCTGAACATTTTGAAATATTATAAACGCTGTTTTCTTTGCATAATTCAACACTGTTGTTTTTTTATTGAAAATGTAAGCATACTATAAAATATCGTTTTTTTCTGAACATTTCGATATACTATACTTTTATTTTTATATTATTGACAGACTATGGTGTTTTTTCTAATATTTTTGACATACTATACTATGTCTATTTTTCTCATATTTTCGGAATTCTACACTTATATTTTATTTTAGACATACTATACTGTGTCGTTTTCTCCGATAGTCTATATACCATGTTGTTTTTCAATACTAAACTATGTTGATTTTTCTTATTTTGTCGACGTACTAAACTATGTTGATTTGTTTCTTATATATTGAAATACACAACATAGTCGGAAGTATAAAAAAATGACATAGTTTAGTACGACAATAAGAAATCAACATAGTTAAGTATTGAAAAAAAGAATCATAATATTGTTAGTTAGAAACTGTTGTTTTTTTCTTATATATTGACATACACCTTTCTTTGTTGATATTTTCAGCATGCAATTTATTGGGACATTTTTGACTTAATAAAATTACTATTTTTCAACATACGACAATAACTCAATATACATTTTTTTTAACATACTGTAGTACCATGTCTTTTTTTTCTGATATAACCAATACATTATGTTTTATTGATTGTTATTTTCAACATATGAAGTTTACTCAAATGATTTCGATTTGTTGTTTTTTTCTCTATTTTTCGACAAACTATACCATGATGTTTATGGCAAACAACAGTGTGACAGTATTTGTGACACACAGCTGGGAGCAGAGGAAATGGCAGACACACTTTTTTGATAAAATGTATTTTAAAAAGTATAAAAAACTAATTTACAGTACAAACAACTACTAAGTCTGAAAGTGACCATAAGTAACAAGTCACTGTGGGTTTAGAAATTAGATTACCACATTCTAGAGGCAGTCAACAGAAGCTAATGTTAGCTTTCGGAGTGCTAATGAGCTGACAATGTAACTATTTCATTCAGAAACCCTAATTCAAGTGTCGGAAACAAAACACACAAAAAATGAATCGAGTTCATTATGGTATAAAACGACGGGAAGCTCTTACAGGATCTCTGTGCTGCTGGAGACAGGGGGCAGCCCCCACCAGCTAAAGTCCCCTCCCTAGCCACCAGCCCATCCTCTGCCTCACATCCAGTCTTTGACCTCCAGAGCTGAGTCAGCGCACAACACCAGTGTGCTGCACTGACGTCACGTGTTCTGTCCATCCCTGCAGGACAGTGCCTGGACAGTAGATTCCAGAGGAGTGTGTGTCTTTAAAAGCCACGTGTTCTCAGTCATTGACAGCCAGGCAGAAGAGCTCCAGCAGCTCCTTGTTGTCCCGCTCGATGAGGTCTGCCGGCTTCTCCCCGCATTCGTTCACCAGCTCTATGTCGGCCCCCAGCGAGAGAAGGTAGCTGGAGGAAACAGAAGAGAATTCTGCTCACTCAAACATATCGAATCCTGCCGCTTTGCCAAACTCAATGCGGGTGTGTGCCGTGCTTCAGTGTCAGGAGGGTCAGCGGGGTGCAAGAATGCAGCAGATCCTCCAGCTTCCCTTACTTCTGTGACGTAGGAAAGCTGTGGTGTGTTTGTGTTAATACACGCTGGTACTGTATGTGCCTGCTAATACAACAACATGTAATGTCAGCTGCTAACGTTATGTCACCTTTGTTGCCCAAAAGTTCAAGCTATAAAGTTCAACTACATCACAAGAAAAAAAGAAAAAAAATGTGTTGTACAACTTAAAATCAAATACACCCTGGGTTATTGCCCCTACAATCTAATTTGATTAGGTATGACTAGTAGCATTTGGTTGCTAATTGCTAATATACATCACTCTTTTGATGTTTTAGATTTCACATGTTAGCCAGGTTAACATCCAAAATATTGCACCTTTAAAGGAATGCTCCAGTCATTAGATAATTAATCAAAACTTCAGTATTTAGTGAAACATTATGTTTAAACCATACCCTGAAGAAATCAGCGATATTCCCCGGTAAATAATGATTTTATAGCTCTTTTTTATCAAAACCTGTATATTCCGTCAGGCCGCTGCCATTTTGCCCATTTTCAGTAGTCACGTGATGGTCGTGACGTCATCCATGCGTTCACTTTGTAAACACACGAAAACATGGCGAAGTTTTGAGCAATATGAAGAGATTGGAAGGGGGAATTCAGCCATACAGGTTCGAGCCTACTTAGTACTACTTAGTAGATACAATGATTTCTCAACTGGCCGAACTGGTGTCCTGGTCGGTGATGACACCAGAAAGACCGATGGTACTGCATATCCATTAAGTAATGGTTGTTCAATAAATCCCATGTTATGTTTTATCATACTCATAGTAGTCGTCCGGAAACTTGAAATGTTCGCTGCATACATGCGCCTGTGGATCTTTCGGTTCGGGCCGGCCACATTTCGCTAGCCACTGCCTCCGAACGTACTTCCTACGCTTACCTTTTGGCAACAGATAGAACCGAGTATTCCGTGGATTGTTCCTATCAGAATTGTGTCAATGTTTCGCGATACAATGAGGCATATTTGAAGAGAGTAACTACAGTAAATAACATGAACATCAACGTGTCCTCGAAACCAAACGCATGGTTTACGTCACGTCCGGTAAAATGGCGCCGCCCACAGTGTTGATGTTATTTCGGTAATTAATCAGTTTAAAATCACTGATAATGTCATCGGATTAAAAAAAAAAAAAGAGAGACTGGCAGAGACTGGTCTGTTTTATCGGATGATAATTATTTAAAAATGAGTGTCATGAGCATACCATTCCTTTAACTCACTAAATGTTTCAATTGTACTTGGTTGCAATGTTCTTTTGTCCATGCAATAACTTTTACACCTCAACCAAGCATAACAAATTCTCATATCTAAAGGTCCCATGTCATGGCCATTTCTACTGATCATAATTCCCCCCCCCCCCCCCTCTTTTCTCTGTTACGGCCCGTCCACACTACAGCTTCGACAGCTTCAAAAACGGTTTCCAACGCGTCTGCCCATTCACTTTGAATGGGGTGACGTCACTTTTCGCCGAACTGCATTGTGGGAAGCAGAGCGGAGCTTTCCTGGCGTTTCAGGCTGCAAAAGTTGAGCAATGTTCAACTTTGGAAGCTTCTGAAGCTTTCGGTGGAAGCGTCAGCCAATCAAATCATATGCCAGTTAAGCTCTAGCCAATCAAACCGCTGCTTGTGTGTCAGGGGCGGGAGATTCATGTGATTGGTTGTTGGTCGAGCTTCAGACACGCCCAGCTCCAAGCTTTTTTGAAGCTGTAGTGTGGACGGGCCGTTAGAGTTTTATTCGCTACAGGGTGTACTTTGAGGGTTTGTGACTCTGCAGACCGTTTACATGCAGAAAAAGCTACACAACACACAAGGGGACGGGTAATAACCGGAAAAGCATGACATGGGACCTTTAAGACACATTTTACATTTTCAGCATTTAATAGAAATAGAAATTGGCATACAAACAGGCAGATGGAAATGCACAGTTGTTTCTTTTTCACAAAAGTTACTCAATTCAAACTTAAATAGAGCTTTGAACTTTTCACGTTGTATTATTTTTAAACAAAAGACTGTCTGCTTACCGTGCAATGTGTGGGAAGCCGTCGCTGCAGGCCATGTGCAGGGGGGTCCAGCCCTCCTCGTCCCGCTGGTGGATATCTGCTCCGTGCTTCACCAGCAGCTTCACACACTCCAGGTTCCCCGTCAGGACGGCCTCATGCATTGCGGCCATGCCTGCAGAGAAAGTCTAGTTAGAAATGACCCATCAGTTCAGCCTATGATCATGGTGTTAATAAATACAGAATAAAGGTTTACTTGATCAGGGTGGTGCAAATGTCTCTCACCAGAGTGGTAGATGGTGTCCAGACTGACTCTTCTGGCTCGCATGAAAAGTCCAATCCTCTCCAGCTCTCCGTGGCGAACATAGTCCTGGAAAATAACATCATTGGGGAAGTGCACACTGCGGATTTGCTTCAGAGTTTGAGAGCTCTTGCAGAGTGGGACCCCACACTCCTGCTGGGTGTAGGCCTTGTTTCCTCTGGTCTGGGAGTCAACGGGGCACTGGAAGTACTTCATCCTGAGCAGCTGATTTCACTTTTGCTTAAAAACTGGTGAAAATCCAACAATATTTTCAAGTTTTAAAAATCCAAGCAGATTATCTGAAAAGAGCTCAGAGGTTGTGCTGCAGGAAGATCAAGTAGTGCTTCTTCTGTGTCGTCCTTCACATCAAGAGGCCTCCCTGCGGGCTCTTTATACTCTCTGTGGGGCTATTTCAGGATCCAGTGGCGATGTTTGGAAGATGAGTAGGCCTCTGGTCAGATCCCTCCCACCAGCCGGTCCCAGGCCACTGATACAAGTCACGGTTTCAGACATGACAGCCAGGAACCTGTTGCTCTGAAGGCACCACACATACCCAGATGCAGCCCACTTTGAAATAGTTGTGAGGGGGGTCTTTTGGTAAACAGGGTGTTAAAGTAGTTCATATAGCGGGAGTGTGTCAGTGCCAGCTGCAGGGGCATGGAGGGAAAAGGGTGTTTGACTCTACACTCAGAGGATGGGTGGGTCATTTCCAAATTAGTGGTTTGCATTACCCTCTTTATTACAAGTTGGAAATACATTTACAAAACATGTCTGTGTGAGGCTTTAAAGAGTTTTTCTCTATCAGTATATGTTTTTTAAAGATATTTAAAATAAATGTTTTATGTTTACTGGATAAATAAAAATAGAAATCATTCACCTTTGGCTCTGGGAAATATTATTGGTATATCTTTTTTAAATGGACCGAAAACTTTGTCTGCTTTGCCTCCATAGCTCAGACCCCGCCCAACCTTCATTTGGGTCTTAACATCTGTGAAGTTTGATGACTGCATCTTGCATGGTTGGGAAAGTTATCCCAGTCAGCAGACTTATACTACTCTACCTCCTCTGCTTGTTCCCAGCCACAGCAGGTGTCTCCAGGAGCGCCCTCTGCCATGAAGACACGTACACACACTGAAGGTGAAAACAACACCAGTGTTGCTGGTAACAGGAGTCTCCAGGCAGTGCTTTAAACTCATGCTAACGTCAACAAGCTTTAAAGAGGCCCCATTATGGTTTTTGGGTTTCTCTGTCCTGTAGTGTGTGATAGTTTCTGTGCATGTAAATGAGGGAGTTTCTCTCCCACAGACTCCCCCCACCCCCTCGCCTGAAACACCTCCATTGGACTTCTGTTTCATTCTGTAACATAATGACATCACTATGTAACACTCACGCTTCTATTGGCTAGAGCATTGTTTTACATAGTTTAATCTAAAGTATAGGCCTAATATATTATACTTTTTTATATTGCTTCTCAAGGACAAGTCCCTCAAAAGTGTACTAAAGTAGAGTACATGAGTTAAATTGTAGGCTATGTAGTTACATTACACAACATTATGACTCTTTGCATGTCATCATAATATATGTTTAGCAGTGTATGCAATGTATGGTGTGTTATAAGAAATTTTCAAATATAGATGGAGTTTTTTACTGTATTCAGGGATTACAATGGAACTCAAAGGGCACCCGAAGACTTTATGCACCGTATAACTAGTAATATCTCATAAATTATAGTGGATTTAATGAAAAGCCCAAGTTAAGTTTACCAGTGTTTAATACTGAACATTTTGAAATTGGGAGCCTGCACTGCACTACATTATTTTTGATAATGTTGTTTATTAGGATTATCAAATCATATCTGTCAACTCGTGATTTTCCTCTCAAAAATACTAATATCAACATGAAAATTGAGCATAATAGGGCTCCTTTAAAAATACAAAAAAACAAGTGAGACACCAAGGGCTGTGATGAGGTGCTGGTCACTGGAAGCAAACTTCAAATTATAAAATTGTATTAAAAGTGTGAGACACTTTTCTTATTTCAATATTAACATACAGTTCGTATGTTTACCATGTTCATCTTAGTCTGGCGTGATTAGCACTACACATCAAGCACAGCTCAGAATGATGGGGAGACGATTCCAATGTTACATCACAAGTCAAAGTATAGAAGCAAATTACACTTTGATCTGATGATGGCTCTCGATGGAAATTAGTTTGTGGGATTCTTAAATAATACAATTATATATTTTATAATGTGTTGAGTTCTAGGCTGGACAAATATTGTCAAGTGAATGTGAAACCTCAGCGCTTGCAGGGTTCACATTTACTACTTTTCTTTGCCCCAACAATAGTTAACTATTTTGAGTTTGGACTATTCATCCATCAAATAATGTTCTATAAGGGTCATTATAAAAAGGCCATTTTGACAATTTAAGGACATGTTATTCACAAACAAGCAGAAGTTTATGCCCAGCATGTATTCTGTTCAGATGTAATGTTGCACGGTACACAGCTTGCCCCCTTTTATTGTGAAATCATCCATCCATTGGGGTGAAAGATTCTATAACAGGATTGTGATGTCATTTTCCCTTGCTAGGTTAAAAAAAAAAAAAAAATGACAATTGATTTTTTTCCCAATTTTTTTTTATTGGCCACCATTTCACGTTTTTCCACATCAATTTGGACATGATGGAATGTTTTAAGTTCCCCCACCGCTGTAGCTGTTGATCCCATCATCACCTTTACTCAAGCACCCCCCACCCCCCCTTCTGCCTCACAACACACACGCAGTCAATCACTCTCGGTTCATGGACAACCAGAAAACATGAACTAGTCATTCAGCTTGCACTTTATACACCATTCACACAGCATTCTCTCTTTCTCTCCCTCTCAAAGTCACACACGGCAGCAACAAGGGTGTTGGGTGGAGCCAAAAGGCGCTACATAATGGGTGAGAGCTGGGGCTGTGCACTTGTTCCCTCCCATCTCAGATACAGACACTTCTCTCAGACCAATCTGAACAGTAAACTCCCAATATCTGTCTGCTTTAGTAACCATAGTAACCACAGTGAATCTGATCAGGCATGAATGCAGTGCGACCCGTCACAACGGGCTCCAGAAATCATCCCAGGTCTGAGAGCGTGTCTGGGGGCCAACTCTGCCCCAACAGCTGGCTACAGCTGGGCACATCATTAACAATGACAAATCCTAAATTAATAAAAAACCTCAAAGTGAAAGCAATTAAATAAAAAAGGGGGGTTTTTCCCCCAAAGTTTACTTTTTTAGAAAAAGAGTCAGTAGCGGATATGAGGAGACTGAACCGAGGGATTATAAAGGAATGAAATGAAAAGTAGACTCACATCTCCACCTAAAGAAAGAAAACGATTGGTCTCCGCTACAGATGGGGGGGGGGGGGGGGGGGGGTTTAGCTACAGGGGTTATTAGCTGCGAGGGGTGTATTTTTAGTGAAGATGTTGCAAAATAAACACATTTTACAGGATGGCCCCTTGTCCCCTGAGAGTCCTTACAAAACCTCCACATAAAACTCTGGGCTTCCCTCAGGGGGAAACAACATCAGCAGCCCCCCCCCCTTACCTACAAATACATGTTACAACATTAATCAAGCTCATACCCACACTGAACATGGTAAGGCTTTTCTTTTTTCTTTAGTTTTTCTTAAGGGAGGAGGGGAGCAAATTCAACAGGAGAAAAGTAAACATTATGAAAACTGGATCTCAATGCCGTTTTTACATTTGGTTTAAATATACAAGGCAAACAGCTGATGTGGAGCAGAAGGCATTGAGGCCTCCCACGGAGGTGCTGCGCTCTTCCACAGAGTCCCCCCCCCCTCCCTCGGTGGGACAAGACGAGTCTGGCCAGATGTTGTGAGGTTGGAGCTGTGGCTGGCAAAAAAAAAAAAGCCCTGCCACGCCACTGATGGATGACTGAGAGGAAGTTAAAGGGGAAGTATTAATGTTCACAGGACAGGGGAGGGCCACGAGGAAGTGATGGTGGTGATGGTCGGAGGGTAGGGGCGGGACTCGTCTCCTCTCTCTCTCCTCTGCCAGCTCTTACAACTCGTCGTGACCGTCGTCGTCCTCGCCATCAGAGTCCATGTCCTGTCCTTCGTCCACATCATCTAAATCCTGGAGTGGACGAGCAGAGGGTTGTTAAGACAGAAGCATTCAGCGTGCAGGTCTTCTCTACAGCGAGCGCCGTGGCCGAGCTATACATTTTTATCATACAGATATTAAACTACGGCATCAGTGTTGTCACTACATTCCCTTCTATTCTTTACCCTCATACATTGTCCCTATTCCTGATGATTTTCAAAAATGTCAGTGTCAATATTTTGTCAACCAAAATACATTTCATGACAGTTACACCATATTAGAAGAAAACAATTACAAGGTATATTAATATAAATAAAAGCACCAGTTGTCGCATATTTGTGTCATATTTTAGGATGACACCATAAAAAGGAGATGTCATTCTGAAACAAAATCCTCAATTTGAATTGAATAAGTACAATTATTTTCTTTCAGTTCTACAACATAAAGAAATTAAAAAGGGATTTATTCTAATGGTGTAAGACTTTTTTAAATGATACTTCTATAAATGTAATTCATGGTGCAGTTGGATTGCTGATAGTCCTCTCTGCAGGAGAGTTTGAGTGAAAATGTTTTTTAAAAGACTAAAAGCCAAAAGATATTGATTGAAGATTTGCTTGGATGAAAACCATGTTTTGAATTGTCAAAAATGATTATCTATATCTTTTCTCAAAAAATGTAGACCTTTGCTCTAGAGCAGGGATGGGCAACTTGGATGGTGGTGGGGGCCACATAATGTATGTACTGGCCACCAGGGGGCCGCAGATTCACTTGGAACACACACACACAAATTCCATGTATTGTATGTAATTATTTACAAGTGGCATGTTTGTATTGAACAGGTTATTTAACAGTGGAATAAAACTATTTTAAACTATTGGAAAGCACGGAAAATGTGTGTGTATTGAGATGAACCATTAAGATGACATAAACATGAAGTCATGAACACTAACCCAGACATTAGTTGTCTAACTTGAACCTAACACACTTGTAGCCAGTCTCTGCATTCCCCTTATTCCACAATGAGGGGAATGTCAACCCGAATGAAAAGCGTAGTAATCATAGATAACACGGCAGGGTCCGTGACAGTTTGTTTTCATCTGATTTCAAATAAACAAAGTCTTGGTTTTTAGAATATTCAACTTGTTTCGCCAAATTCAGATGATAAATACAACCTTGAAGCTTGTAACTAGGGATGCACCGAATATTCGGCCACCGAAAATTATCGGCCGAAAATGGTTAAAAAGGCCCTTTCGGCCGAAAGGGTTTTAGCACCGAAAAAATATCACCGAATGTCAGAACAGGCTTACGTTGGTAACCTAACGTGTTGTTGTGATGACGTAATAAAGACGCGGCGACCATGCTCGCGGCTGGCTCACAGGGGGGGGGGGGGGACATTGACCTTTGTCATCGAGATTGCCCTGAGCCTTTAACAAATCGTATTAAATAATCTGATGACAGACTGTAAACAGAATAGCTGAAATGTTAACAAACTAAATAACTCAGTTTCCTCTAATCATTAACCCATGTTTGTATCATGTAGTTAACTCCGTGTGTTGCTGCTAGCATACATAACACCTGACGTGGAAACGTTACTCGTGATGGAGCTACAGAGCTGCTAGAAAGACGGTCGAACCCGGTACATTCCTCCGTCTGCATGCGGTGCACTTTTGCTAAATGTTAGACAAATTGCTCGTGCTTACATGCTAAACTCTTATTGCACTTATGGAACAAGTATTCTCCACATCGAGACGGGTAAAGTTTAACCACACTCGGAGCGCGTTCTCTCCGCCATCTCCGCAGTGTGCTCCGCTGCATGTAGCAGCTGCGTGTGTATACTGCCCCGCCCCCTCGCACACAGACGGGGGAGAGAGATATCTCGTCTGATCGAAAATACATCATAGACGCATTTGTTGTCTTTGCATATTAGAAACGCAGTTGGCGACACTAAGACTGCGATATAATGTTTTTTTAGCAATAATACATGACATATATAAATGTACTGTATGCATTCAAAAGTGCTGAATAAATGTTTTATGGACCCATAGCTAATAGTGATTATTATTTAAGTTAAGTTTTGCCATAATCATGTCTATTTCCATAATCAGGTAGCTGAACAAACATTGGTAAAAAATGTATACATTATATATATATATATATAATATATATAAAAGTATGACATGATAGAGAGATAGATATAGAGATATTATATAAAAAATGGCATACATTATATATATATATATATATATATATAAAAAATGTATACATTATATATATATATATATATATATATATATATAAAAAATGTATACATTTATATATATATATATATATAAAAAATGTATAACATATATATATATATATATATATATATATATATATGTATACATTATATATATATATATATATATATAATATATATATGTATACATTATATATATATATATATATATATATATTATCTATTCATCATTTTTCGGCCTTTCGGCATTCGGTTTTTCGGCCAACGTTTCCTATTTTCGGTGTATCGGTTTTCGGCCAAAGAATTTCCATTCGGTTGCACCCCTACTTGTAACGGCATAATTACAAGCGGTAACTTAACGTCACGCAGGCATAACAACAGCGGTGATTCTTGTGAGTGTTTCCCGGGAAACAAACACAATACACAAACGCGTCAGATTATTTGGCGGAATTTGGCTACCTAACGAAATCATGTACGCAGCTCGCGACGTAACTAGGAGTCTAGTGGACGGTATCAGTACTACAAGTTAAAAAAAAAACATAACCCTTATTAATTACGTTGTTTATAAATGAATCTGAGGGCCGCAAAAAGAGGAGGTGGGGGCCCCCGGGACGCCATGTGCCCATCCCTGCTCTAGAGTTGTTGGCAATGAGAACAAGAGTGAAAAACAATCCTATGCAGAGAGGGTAAAACCAGTATAAAGTAGCCTAATAATCAGATGTGCAGAAATACAGATTTTAAAACACATTGAATAGTAATGCAAAATAAAAACATAATACAACAGAATCTCTCCTTGAAATAGTTTAGGTTGGCTGCCATTGTTGGCATTATTTCATATCCACATCTTAAGTGATTACTTTCTGACAAGGTTTAAGTATTGAATATATTGTGGTTGAAAACATTGGGCTTTATTTTTAACAATGCAACTGTAGCATGAAGCCATTCCCTCAACACTGATTAGTCATGAAACAATGGATGGGAACAATCAGCCCCTGA